GGCGACCCGTAACGCAGTTCCCCATCCCCCGGGGCCCGCCCAGGCCGCACGTGCCTCTTTGTAGCCTGCCGGCCCGTGGCCTGGTGCCACCGCTGGCCCACGTGGTGCCCACGGCCCTTGCCTGGCCAAACTGCGGCCCGGCGGCCTGGTGCAACCGTCAGCATCCCGGAAAGCGCCAGAATTAGAAGTTTGCTGGTTGAAGTGCACTAGCTGACTTACTAATGACCGCATTCATTGCAGTGATTGTTTCAGGGCTAACAAGGCGCTCATCTGTGCAAGTCTCCCAAGTAATTATTAGCTGCAATCCCGGCTGTGGAGTAAAGCACGTAAAATACTGTGCTGCCCTGAAAGCTGGTGGTGACCCTCACGAGAGGAAAAGCAATGTTAAAAGCAGCAGTGTTCTCAGTCAAAAAGCCCTGAATGTAATTCCATCTTAGATGAACAAATTACAGCCTAATGAAAAGTTACTGTCATTAGCATAAACAGGTATTATTACCAATACCATCTGCAAACCAGCTCTGTGCACAGAGTTAGGAATTCACCCCAGTGAATCCATTTTTCCATTCAGTATTTTACGGGTTTAAACTTCCAAGCTGCAAACTGTGCAGCATACTGTAATATGAAAAAGAGTTGAGCCTAAGGACACCCTGCTAAAGGACAGTCTCAGAAAATTGTACATATGTATTCTGCTGACAAGTGCCCCAACAGTGGATGGGATAATTTCTGTAATTATTTATTTTTCCCAAAATATTTATACAAAATATTACCATTTGAATGTAAAGCTCTGGCCTGGCACAGATGAGAAGCTGTTAAGCTCTCACAAAGTTGTTTCCTTAATGTTACTTGTGACAACGCTTTTAAAGTATTTACCTTTTTGAATAATCTTTGTCTTGATTGTTTGGTATTTGGCCATGTTAGGTCTTAAGGACAGAGGAGGTAAAGGCTTATGAAAACTGAACACATTTATCAAATTCATTGATCTACATTAAAAAATGCAAACTGCTTTGTTTTTTTTTTCCTTAAAGACGTCTTGGAAATTAATAGTGGTGCATATCATGTGATCTCTGGGGTAGAAATGGTAGTTATGCTGATGTAACTGTACTCTTAACCTAAACAGCTTAAGAGGAAAAGGCTGGTTAGTATGTATAACCCAAACAAAGCCTAGTGAGCTTGCCTGGAAGAGCAAGAATATGCAGTATCATAAAAACCAATACTTAACGGTACTGTGACCATTAGTGCTTAGTGACATAGTAGACATCTGTTCGCTGCCTTGTCTATTCACATTCTTTTGCGGATCTTCCTAGAGAAACCCTTGGTGACTAGGTAGAGCTGAATGAAGGTGACAGGGAGATCCTCCAAGTAATGGCTGCAGTGCTGTTTCTATCAGTTGCCTCTAAGTGAATTCTATCACATAACATGTGCTATTATGCCTGAGATAAGCAGTTGCCACCAATTTGTGCCGTGCACAGAGCAACTAGTACCTTATTTGCAAATAGTCCCAGTAACTCTTGGCCATTGGTCTTCTTCATGTATGGGCTTACACCAAAAAACAAATTATATAACCAGCTACAGAGGTGAAGGAAAGAGCTGTGATATGAGGTAGAGTCTTTGAGTACTCGGGCTTGTGCTACTCTGAGAACAGACACCTAATTAACAGCAAATAGCCTTCATGTTCATATTAATATGAAATGAGCTCTCTTTATGTCAGCAACCAGTAAAAGTGAGCTGACTATTTTAGTTACCAAAGGGAACTTATTTTTCCCGAGACAATTGCTTATTGCACATTTTCCTGGTCTGATTCTCTCATAGGGAACCCTTTAAATCAAGCTAAGGAATGAAAGATTTCTCAGTGCTGGCTGCTGACTGCTGCAAGGGCTGTTTTTTCACTCGTTTGGACAGTTGAGGAGGAGAGGCTAAATATGGTTGTACATGTCTAGGTCTTCTTCCCTCTTTCTTCTCAACAGGAATTGTTATAATTTTTATCAGTGTTCTTATTTTCTAATCCTAGGAAGAAATTCTTGAGTGGATAACAAGACTTGCAGGAAGAAGATAATCCCTGCTTTGACTTGTGAGTACTCTTGAGGTTATTTAATGAAGATAATAACTTGTGAAACATAAGAAGATTTTTGCCTTCAGTTGCCTTAAATTGTTTGCATAAGTTAATGGGATGTGGAAAGCTAGTAAATGAAAGCTATAATACTCTGATTTTTCTTCCCTCTGTTCTGATTTCTACTGTTCTGGCGCAGAAGAATTACATCACAGAACTTGATCTTTTCACAAAATGCCTAAGTCAACAGCAGAACAAAGAGTTAAGCAATAGCCTCTGTTACATGTGGGGTTTCCACTGCTGCCTTATGCCTTATATTATTGCAGCTCTAAAAGTGGATTCATGGTAGGCTAAGATACGGAAAACATTGCCCAGTCAGAGTAGTCTCACCTGTAAGTGGATGCAACTGCTACACACAAATAACTGGAGCATTATATAAATATAAATAACCCCATGTTAATGCAAAGCCTTTCTCTAATGCTGTGACTCATAGACTTTCTGTGAAGCTTTTGCTATCCTGATTTTTTTGCTACATAATAGCTTCCATGTAAGCTTTGTAAAATTAAAGCAAAATATAAGCTACTATTGCAGCTTACTCAGCTCCTGTAAGCAAGCCATAACAATAAGTAACATTCTCTTCTGCTTGCGGCTGAGATTAGCCTGAGATGCTGCTTGTGATGCACAGAGCAATGCTGATCTCCTAGCTATTAGACTCTGTTACAGGGAGTCTGCACTTCAGAAGTGCCCCATCATCCTTTAATGTGAATTGGCAAAGGGAATGACTTTGGCAGCACTGCTGTGAGCCATTAAAGAATCTAGATTTGTTTTTATTTGGTCTGGGACATGGCTAGCTTGGGCACTTTACAGCTTTTCTGGGCCTGTTTTATCAAAGGCTGGATGACCACTAAAGTTGGTGCTCATCTCTGAATCTCTGGAGGTCACAAAACCTGGACTATTTTTACGAGTGTAGAAGGGCTGATGTGCTTTGAAGTGAAGCGCACAGAGTAAGCACAACCCCAGTATAGGTTAGCTTTCTGTTGCTGGAAGCAGGGCAGCACTCGATTTTCCTTTCGGCAGTGAGCTTCCTGCTGCACCGCGCTCCCAGAGTGGATTCTGTGGTTGGTTGTGTACTAAGGTGCCATCTGTGCCAGCCTCCTACTCCTCCTCCCTATCTGACAAATCCATTCATTGCCGTGACTACAAAAAGCTAAATTGGATGATTTAATTATGATTTCAATATTGCTGTTCCTTGAAGGTATTCAGTAACTGGGAAGCAGCACTGAATCAACATCTCAAACAGCTCTAGCTCCCAGCAGATGACTATGCCCAACCAGTTCCTGCTTTTCCTGGGAAATAATCTACCCGCTATGACCTAAATATACAAAAAGTGTAGGAAAGAAATCTGAGGCTATGCAATTGGTGAACTTGAACTTTTGACATCTGGACAATTAAATTGTGTTTTTGGAACTGAGCCTCAACACATGGTGCTGAAAACTAGCAGCAGAGTTAGACCTTAATGGAAATGATTGTAGAAGACTTCCACAGAGGAGTTACAGATGAGGTTACAGATGAGGTTCACAATCCAAGCAGCTGATGTACAGATCTTGGAAATGGAGAACTCCCATGGAATTTCATTTAAACACTTACTGTTGCTTCCCTCTAATGCTTTGTTGCAACATGGTGAAACATGCTTTCCTGACTGCTGAAATGGGAATTAGGCAGGACTAGCTTTTAGTTACTAAATCAGTAGCTGAAATGTTATTTGAAATGATACTTCAAAAAAAAAAAAAAAAGAGTTGAAGCATCCTATCCTAATCAGTGACAGCATTTAATATAAGTACACTTAAATATCACAGATAGATAACTAGGCACAGAGGTTCACTTGCAGACCTAGTAGAAAAGAGATTAACTGAGAAAACTGAGAACCTAAGGATTCTGTGCTCCCGGATCATCCAAGGGAGGAAGAAGTAGCTGAGCACCATAAACAATATTTCACTTAACCTGGTCTGTCTCGCTGCTTGTTCATGATCTTGTACCCTAGCTGTTCACGTGACCA